ATCGCGCTGAGTCTGACCATCCAAGAAGGCAAGTGGATCCATCGCCTGCTATGCGAGGTTCTGACGGCTGCCAACGAAGAAGGACCCGAGCTCGTCATCCGTGAAGACAACCAGTCGTGCATCAAGATGACGAAGAACCCAGTCAACCACGGCCGTGCCAAGCACATCGACATCAAGTATCACCATATCCGTGATGAAGTCAAGCGCGGCGAAGTGCAGCTTGAGTATTGCGAGACGGCGACCATGTTAGCGGACATCATGACGAAGGGACTACATGGACCGCGCCACAAGGACTTGACGACGGCTCTCGGCATCCGTGCGAGTTCGGATTGAGGGGGCGTGTTGAGGGTTACCGATACAATCCGAACTTAAGCGTAGTTTTTACGGGATAGTTTTTACGTCGGTAATTACGCAGGAATGATTAGACGAGTAGGGTGATTAGACGCGCCGACTGATTTATATGTGGACACATATAAATCAGGGCGTAGGAAGATAAGCTCCGATAATCAATCACTTTCCAATCTTCCATCTACCCCCCAAGTGTCTTCTCCGGTCTTCCGAGTGGACTCCCGGCATCCTTCCCAGTTTCGGTCGTCAAGCTTCACACCTTTCAACAAAGAGCACTGGGTTGCAGTAAAGCGCATCTTCCGCTACCTTCAAGGCACCAAGTCGCACGGGGTCTGCTACCAACCAAGCGACAAGATCGACTTTCGCGGATACTCCGACGCGGACTGGGCTGGCGACCACGCGGATCGCAAGTCAACTTCAGGCTACGTGTTCATGCTGCTCGGCGCACCCATCAGCTGGGGAAGCAAGAAACAGTCAAGCGTGTCGCTATCGACGAGTGAAGCGGAATACATCGCGCTGAGTCTGACCATCCAAGAAGGCAAGTGGATCCATCGCCTGCTATGCGAGGTTCTGACGGCTGCCAACGAAGAAGGACCCGAGCTCGTCATCCGTGAAGACAACCAGTCGTGCATCAAGATGACGAAGAACCCAGTCAACCACGGCCGTGCCAAGCACATCGACATCAAGTATCACCATATCCGTGATGAAGTCAAGCGCGGCGAAGTGCAGCTTGAGTATTGCGAGACGGCGACCATGTTAGCGGACATCATGACGAAGGGACTACATGGACCGCGCCACAAGGACTTGACGACGGCTCTCGGCATCCGTGCGAGTTCGGATTGAGGGGGCGTGTTGAGGGTTACCGATACAATCCGAACTTAAGCGTAGTTTTTACGGGATAGTTTTTACGTCGGTAATTACGCAGGAATGATTAGACGAGTAGGGTGATTAGACGCGCCGACTGATTTATATGTGGACACATATAAATCAGGGCGTAGGAAGATAAGCTCCGATAATCAATCACTTTCCAATCTTCCATCTACCCCCCAAGTGTCTTCTCCGGTCTTCCGAGTGGACTCCCGGCATCCTTCCCAGTTTCGGTCGTCAAGCTTCACACCTTTCAACAATGACGAAGGGACTTCACGGACCACGCCACAAGGACTTGACGGCGGCGCTCGGCATCTGTGCGTGTTCGGATTGAGGGGGCGTGTTGAGGGTTACCGGTACAATCCGAACTTAGCGCGTAGTTTTTACGGGATAGTTCTTACGTCGGTAATTACCGCAGAGATGATTAGACGCGTAGGATGATTGGACGCGTGTAAATCAGGTTGATTAGATGCACCATGTGATTGGATGCAGTCTAGGGTAGGCAGAGTTAAGACCTATGAATAAATCACTTTCGAATCCTCCCTCAAGTGAGCAAGTGTTCTCCGCTTCGTTCTCTCCGATCTCTCCGCTCCGTTTTCTCTTCGCCTCCCGCTCAAGTTTCAACAAAAACAATCCAGCACGCGCCTTAGGATCCCACTTGAGTCGTTTCTCCTTCGGGGTCAAGATGTATGCTTGGCACCCGAAAACACGCATGTGCTTGACACTTGGCTTGGAATTGTAGACAATCTCGAACGGTGTTTTGTGCGAGATCTTGGGTGACGGCAGACGGTTCTTCACATAGATAGCCGTCATTGCCGCTTCAGCCCAGAAGCGCTTGTCCAGCTTGGTATGGTGGAGCATGCTGCGACCGATTGTGGCGATGGTCCGAATCGCGCGTTCAGCAGTTCCGTTGGCTTGATGCGCGTATGGAACCATGGTTTGCTGCTCGATGCCTTCGCCTTTGTAGAAATCTTGAAGCGAGTTCGTTGCAAATTCGCGCGCTCCATCGTGTCGCACAAACTTGACCTTCTTGTTGAACTGCGCCTGGACCATCGTGATGTACTTCTTGATGCACTCTTCACTCTCCGACTTGGCATGAAGACAAAATCCCTTCATGCACCCGCTGGCTTCATCCACAATCAGCAGCAGGTACTTGCTGCCACCCAGAGATTTTTCTTCCATGGGCCCGCAGATGTCGAAGTGGAGCAGCTCGAAGGTGTTGTAGGTGCGCTTGTCACGGTTGCTTGGAAATGGTTTTTGGACCATCTTTCCTTCTTGGCATCCTCGACACACACTTGGTCCATTCGGCTTCGAACAGATCGGAGCGTCCTTGATCATGTTGCTTGCCACCATCTTGCGAAGCACTTCGACTGGAGCATGACCCATTCGCGCGTGTAGATCAACGACGTTGCCACGTGATGCCACATTGGCCGAACGCTGCGTCGTGCGAAGCCAGTAGAGTCCATCTACAAGATCGGCAGCTGCCACCACTTGGTTGGAATCCTTGCGAGCAACGTACATCGTAGCCCCATCGAACACCACTTGGAAGTTGCCATGCTTGTTAATCTGCGGCACCGGAAGCAGATTTTTGCTCATGCTGGGCACATAGAGCGCGTTCTTGATCTCGATCTCGCGCTCATCCCCGTTAGGCAGGACCACCTTTTCAACGATAGTCCCCACACCTTTGATGGCTGCCTTGTTGCCATCAGCCACCAGGATCTCGCCATCGTTGCCTTCGACCAAGCTTGTAAACTTGAACTTGTCGTGGCAGATGTGATGTGTTGCCCCGCTGTCAACGGCCCACATCCCTGATCCATTCTTGTTCGTCGAAACGCCGCATTCGAACGAAACTGCAAACGCCACTCGATCGTAGCTGCTGCCTTCATCATAATGTCGCCACTGGACATTGTTTGCCCCGCGTCCACGACCATTGCCGCCGCGTCGGGCTCCTCGACTTTCATCCTTTTGCTTCGTCCAGCAACGCTCTGCCGTGTGCCCCACCTTGCCACAATACGTGCATTGGTAGGGCTCGCGCTCGGTACTGAATGCCTTTGTCGCATCTTCAGCCTTCACCGATGTCGTTGCCATCGTCATCTTCTCGCCTTGCCGCTTGGTGTGCTCATTCGTCAGCACTTTGACCACATCTTGCGTACGCAGCTCTGCATTGCTCATCTCCATGTTTAGAACAACGTTCTCGAAGCTCTTCGGGAGACTGAGCAGCAAGCAGATCGCAACGTCTTCGTCTTCCATCTTGGCACCGATGCTGCGAAGCTTGGCGCTGATGTTCAGGACTTCGTTGCAGTGATGCAAGACGTTGCCTCCTTCCGCCATCTTGATGCTGAACAGCTGGCGCTTGAGGTAGATGCGTCCCGCCTTCTGCGACCCACCATAGAGCATCTTCAACCGCGACCACGCTGCCCATGCTTCTTCACAGCTGTCGACCACATGGTGGTAGTCCGCGTCCATGTGCAGCAACATCAACCCGAACGCGATGTTGCTCGACTTGACGTACTCATCTGACGCTCGCGGGTCAGTGAAGGTTGGAGACGTTTCGCGGTTCACGACGTGCCAGACGGACTTCGTCAAGAACACGCCACGCATGTAGCGACACCAGGTTGAGTAGTTATCCCCATCGAACTTATCGATGGAGACACTGGTCGAGGCGTTGCTGGAGGACATGGCGCTTGGGCTCATAACCTGTTGAAACTTGAGCGGGAGGCGAAGAGAAAACGGAGCGGAGAGACCGGAGAGAACGAAGCGGAGAACACTTGCTCACTTGAGGGAGGATTCGAAAGTGATTGATTCATAGGTCTTAAGTCTGCCTACCCTAGACTGCATCCAATCACATGGTGCATCTAATCAACCTGATTTACACGCGTCCAATCATCCTACGCGTCTAATCATCTCTGAGGTAATTACCGACGTAAGAACTATCCCGTAAAAACTACGCTTAAGTTTGGATTGTAACGGTAACCCTCAATAGTTTCCACTGAAAGTTTCCATCGACATGGGTCCGCATACGTCGCTGTGAATCACTTCGAGCAGTTTGGAGGTGCGAGCTGTAGTGTTCGATTGGAAGCGCATTCGAGTCTGTTTTCCCAGAGCGCAACCTTCACACACGTCCCACTTCTTAACCGAAGATATGTCGATGCCAATTCCAATGTTCTTCGTCACGATGCGATTGAGTCCATCGTGACCTATGTGGCCAAGTCGAAGGTGCCAGAGGTACGACTTGGTGTCCCCTTGACATCCCGACGACTTGGCTGCATTTGCTTGTTCCTGCATTACTGGAGTCATTTGCAGCTTGAACAGTCCTTTACCTTCACGGGCACCAATTTTCCACTTGGTCCCTTTCGCTTCTCCATAGCACCCATCTTTTGTGAACGTTACTGGGCCGACATCCTTGGTGAAGCGGCCGACTGAGAACAGGTTTCTGGATAACTTTGGGATGTGCCACACGTTTGTGAGCACACCTTTCTTCATCCCTTGGGGTGTCTTCATCGACATGACAATTGTTGGCGTCGGAAGTTGGGGCGGACGAGAGAGTCTGCGCTTAGACAAGCCGAAGAGAAGACACTTGCTCTGAAGAATGGAAATTGGAGAGTGACTGATTATCGGAGCTTATTTGCCTACGCCCTGATTTATGTGTGTCCACATATAAATCAGTCGGCGCGTCTAATCACCCTACTCGTCTAATCATCTCTGAGGTAATTACCGACGTAAAAACTATCCCGTAAAAACTACGCTTAAGTTCGGGTTGTATCGGTAACCCTTAACACGCCCCCTCAATCCGAACTTGCACGGATGCCGAGAGCCGTCGTCAAGTCCTTGTGGCGCGGTCCATGTAGTCCCTTCGTCATGATGTCCGCTAACATGGTCGCCGTCTCGCAATACTCAAGCTGCACTTCGCCGCGCTTGACTTCATCACGGATGTGGTGATACTTGATGTCGATGTGCTTGGCACGGCCGTGGTTGACTGGGTTCTTCGTCATCTTGATGCACGACTGGTTGTCTTCAAAGATGACAAGCTCTGGACCTTCTTCGTTGGCAGCCGTCAGAACCTCGCATAGCAGGCGATGGATCCACTTGCCCTCTTGGATCGCCAGACTCAGCGCGATGTATTCCGCTTCACTCGTCGATAGCGACACGCTTGACTGTTTCTTGCTTCCCCAGCTGATGGGTGCGCCGAGCAGCATGAACACGTAGCCTGAAGTCGACTTGCGATCCGCGTGGTCGCCGGCCCAGTCCGCGTCGGAGTATCCGCGAAAGTCGATCTTGTCGCTTGGTTGGTAGCAGACCCCGTGCGACTTGGTGCCTTGAAGGTAGCGGAAGATGCGCTTTACTGCAACCCAGTGCTCTTTGTTGAAAGGTGTGAAGCTTGACGACCGAAACTGGGAAGGATGCCGGGAGTCCACTCGGAAGACCGGAGAAGACACTTGGGGGGTAGATGGAAGATTGGAAAGTGATTGATTATCGGAGCTTATCTTCCTACGCCCTGATTTATATGTGTCCACATATAAATCAGTCGGCGCGTCTAATCACCCTACTCGTCTAATCATTCCTGCGTAATTACCGGCGTAAAAACTATCCCGTAAAAACTACGCTTAAGTTCGGATTGTATCGGTAACCCTCAATAACAATGTCGCCACTGCCGATTGCTTGGACGATTCCATCATCCGCGAGATGGACATCCACAGTGTTAAACACCTTGTAGTTCCGCATGAAATTATTGGAGCACGTCATGTGCTGCGTCGCCCCGGAGTCGATTAGCCGGATGTCGCTCGATTTCGCAGATGTTGTTTCACCGATCGAGAAGAGGTAGTCGCCCGAGTCTTCTTCTTGAGCGACGTATGCACGTTGTGATCGATAACGGTCGTCGCTGTCCTTAGCGCGCTGTGGCCGGTGTCTCTCCGTGTTTTCTTGGATGCGCGAGGGGCACTCTGCCATCCAGTGACCAATTTTCCCGCAGTTGTGGCACGGCCAGGTCTTCTTCGCTGGTCGCCCTTTGCGTTGATTGTCCCTTGTGATGAACGCTTGGCCTTGCGAAGCTTCGTCACCTTTACTTCCTTGCTCCTTCCGCTTCATTTCTTCATGAAGCAGTCGAGACGTCACGAGCTCCCAGCTAAGAGTGTCTGAGCGCGACTCCAAAGCTGTGATCAAGAATTGATACGAGTCACTCAGGCTGCCGAGAAGTGTGATCACCAGATCGTCCTCGCAGACCGGGGCCCCCACCGCTTCTAGCTGTTCCGCCAACGTCTTGAGCTTGTTGATGTGTTCGAGCACATCGTCGCCTTCTTCCATCATCGTCGTGAAGAAGCGACGTCGCAAGAAGAGCTTGTTGGCAAGACTCTTCTTCTCGAAGTGGTCTTCCAACCTTGACCATGCGTCGTATGCACCACTTGCCGACCGGACCAACGGTAGCTGGGAATCTTCCATGGCTAGACAAATCACTGCCATCGCCTTCCTTGACTTCCTCTTGTAAGCCGCTTGGTCCAACTGAGTCACGCACTGTTCCGCCTTGATCTCGCCGCTGACAACCTCCCACAGGTCCCGTTCCTCCAGCACCATCTGCATCTTGAACTTCCAGGCGTGGAAGTTAGTTCCATCGAACTTGGAGATGCGGAGGGAGGAGGCGTCCATGGCAGCGAGGCTTGAATCGTTGGCGGTCGCAGAGCTTAACGAACTTGGGCTCATAACCTGAAGAACTTTAGACTTCTTTGTCCGGGTGCAAAACACAAAGTGAATATATATTTATAATAGGTACTTAGTTCGCAACTTTGAATACTACCTCTAAGCCTATTATTCGCAGTGACGTCATCCAGTGACGTCACCCACTGACGTCATGCAATGACGTCATTCCGCTGACGTCATCCAATGACGTCATTTCCTGACCTCATGCAATGACGTCATTCCGCTGACGTCATCCAATGACGTCATTTCCTGACCTCGCCCTTACTGGTACATACCGGTACCAACCGGTATATCGAGGCTTGGTCTTCCGCTTGTTTCAACACTTGACGCTGCTTGACGAGGTGTCTTCTTCACAGCCGCCGTCTGTCCAACAAACCTGACAACCGAACACCCGCATGTGCTTGACACTTGGCTTGGAGTTGTAGACGATCTCGAACGGAGTCTTGTGCACAACTTTAGGCGACGGCAGACGGTTCTTGACATAGATTGCCTTCATTGCTGCTTCGGCCCAGAAGCACTTTTCCAGCTTCGCATGGTGGAGCATGCTGCGACCAATCGTGACGATGGTCCGAATGGCGCGCTCCGCCGTGCCGTTCGTCTGGTGTGCATACGGCACCGTCGTCTGCTGCTCAATGCCTTCGTCTTCGTAGAATTCTTGAAGCGAGTTGGTTGCGAACTCGCGGGCTCCGTCGTGTCGGACGAACTTGACCTTCTTGCCAAACTGCGCTTGCACCATCTTGATGTATCGTGTGATGTGATTCTCACTCTCAGATTTCACGCGTAGACAGAAGCCCTTCATGCATCCACTGGCTTCGTCCACGATCAGCAGTAGATACTTGCTGCCACCCAGAGAATTCATCTCCATGGGTCCGCAGATGTCGACGTGAAGCAGCTCAAACGTGTCGTATCTGCGCTTGTCTTGGTTGCGTGGGAATGGTTTTTGGACCATTTTCCCTTGTTGGCATCCTCGACATGCGCTTGATCCACTTGACTTGAGAGGTACCTTCACATCCTTGATCATGTTCGTCGCCACCATCTTGTGAAGCACATCAGCTGGAGCGTGTCCCATCCGCGCATGTAGGTCGACACCGTTGTTTCCTCTTGTTGTCGCATTGGCCGATCGATGAGCTGTGTGAAGCCAGTAAAGACCATCCACAAGATCTGCTGTTGCCACCACTTGTTGCGATCCTTTGCGAGCGACAAACATCTTGGTCCCGTCGAACACCACTTGAAACTTGCCGTGCTTGTTGATCTGCGGTACCGAAAGCAGATTCTTGCTCAAGCTTGGTACGTAAAGCACGTTCTTGATCTCGATTTCGCGCTCTTCACCGTCGGGCAGAACCACCTTTTCAAGGATAGTTCCAACACCCTTGATGGCCACTTTGTTGCCATCCGCCACCAAGATTTCACCGTCGTTGCGCTTGTTCAGGCTTGCAAACTTGGTCTTGTCGTGGCATATGTGGTGCGTTGCACCACTGTCGACGGCCCACATTCCGGACACGTCCTTCTTCGCTGAGAGTCCACACTCCAGCGAAACTGCAAACGCTACTTGATTGTAGTCGCTGTCTTCATCACGATATTGTCCCCACTGGACATTGTTCGCCCCGCGTCCACGACCATTGCCGCCGCGTCGGGCTCCTCGACTTTCATTCTTCTGATTGGTCCAACAGCGATCCACGGTGTGTCCCACCTTCCCACAGTAGGTGCACTTGTATGGTTCGCGCTCAGTGTTGAAGGCCTTGGCTGCATCTTCAGTCTTGACCATCGTCGCTGTTGTTGTCACCTTCTCCCCTTGGCGCTTGGCGTGCTCATTCGTAAGCACCTTCACCACATCTTGGGTACGAAGCTCTGTGCTGCTCATCTCCAAGTTCAGAACAACGTTCTCAAAACTCTTAGGGAGACTGATCAGCAGGCAAATTGCGACGTCCTCGTCCTCCATCTTCGCGCCGATGCTGCTAATCTTGGCGGCGATGTTCAGGACCTCGTTGCAGTGATGCATGACGTTAGCGCCTTCAGCCATCTTCATGCTGAAGAGTTGCCGCTTGAGGTAGACCCTTCCCGCTTTCTGGGATCCACCGTACAGCACCTTCAGGCGTTGCCACGCAACCCACGCTTCCTCGCAGTTGTCGACCACATGGTGGTAATCCGCACCCATGTGCAGCAACATCATTCCAAACGCGATGTTGCTGGTCTTGACGTAGTCGTCCTGCGCCCGGGGGTCCACATACGTCGGGGAGCTTTCCCGGTTGACAGCGTGCCACACTGACTTCGTCAGGAACACGCCACGCATGTATCGACTCCAAGTCGAATAGTTATCCCCATCGAACTTATCGATGAGGACGTTGGAGGATGCGTGGCCGGCAGAAGACATCGCGCTTGGGCTCATAACCTGTTGAAGGTATGGCACGGACGTGACGAGAAGACCGGAAGAGACCGGGGGGAGCGAAGAGGCTTGAGGAGCGGTGCAGAGAACACTTGCTCGGCAGAAGGAGGATTCGAAAGTGATTGATTCATAGGTCTTAAGTCTACCTACCCTAGACTGCATCCAATCACATGGTGCATCTAATCAACCTGATTTACACGCGTCCAATCATCCTACGCGTCTAATCATCTCTGAGGTAATTACCAACGTAAGAACTATCCCGTAAAAACTACGCTAAGTTCGGATTGTACCGGTAACCCTCAACACCTTCTGGAATGTTGCAGAACACCTTTTCCTTCATCACTCCGTACAGGAATGCCGTCACCACGTCAAGTTGGTCGAGAGGCCAGTCGAAGTACTTGGCGATCGCAATTACCATGCGCAGTGTCACGTACTTGACCACCGGCGAGAATGTTTCGGTGTAGTCGATTCCGTACTTCTGCTTGAAGCCCTTCGCGACTAAACGCGCCTTGAACTTCTCGATCGATCCGCTTGCTTTGCGCTTGATCTTGAACACCCACTTGGTCCCAATAGCGCGTTGGTTACTTGGCAACTTGGCAGCACGAAAGACACCGCGAAGTCGCATCGACTCGAGCTCGGCCCGAATGGCCTTACGCCAGTGAACTTGATCAGGTCCGCTGATCGCATCCTGAAACGTTGCAGGCTCAGCCAGATCAGTCGCCTCCACTGCATTAGCACTTGCACGCCAAAATGTTGGAGGCGTCGAGTCATCATCTTGATCGTAGGCGCCCGCATCTTCTTCGTCATCAGGCGACGTGTCGTGAGCACTTGATCGTTGTTTCTGGTGACGGTTGGAGACATGTTCCGGCGCACTATCCTGTTCCAAACCAGTTCGAGGGCGAGCTGAACGTGACATGCCGGGTCTTGCTTCACTCTTGCGCTTGCC